ATCTCGTGTTGATCTATCCCTACCACTGGCCAGAGTAGATTTACTCAACAGAATGGGGATGGCATATTTTGTTCCGATGCTCTACTCGGTCAAAAGATAAAGAGACACTGATGGGCGAAAAATAGTCAAAATACTCGCAAAAATAGATGGCATCTTTCGTCGATTATTTTTGCTTTAATTTGGCAAATATAAATGTAACACTATTTAGAAAAAACCGTTTTTTGGAGAATCTCTTGACAGCTTGATGTTGAAGTTCCTTTGATTTCGTGAAGAGAATCGAGTACAAATGATTGGTAAGTTGAATTGCTTAGAGACGCCGACGACCTATTCGCACAAATCCACATTCACAGCTCCAAGGCAATCCCTCTACAGCTTCTGGTGAGGCCAACTTGCAACTCCCTTCTGCTCGCCTCTTCAAACGAAATGAAATGTACGCCATGATGATAGCATTTGTTTGAAATACCCTTTTCAAGTGTATACAAACGTTGAATAAGATTTACCGCCACCCTGTATCGCATAATTGGATTTTGAACTTTGTTGAATTTTGCAACAATCATATTAATAGGTCTTACGATCTCAGCCAATTTCACATATTCTGTTTCCCAAAAAGTTTTACTCAACCCGGTTGGACCAGAATGTGATTTGGACAACGCCCGGATGGGCCTTATCCTTAGTTTCAACACGAATCGAACGCAAGTTTTGATAGTGATACTGGAAGTGGTAGTTTAATTTTTACCACAATGATTTGAGTGGACCTTAAATTTCCATAGAATTTCACATAGCCTCGCTTTTCCAAAAGCTATTTTCATTCAGGATGGAGTGCCGTTTCGACGTCGGCTAGATCTTATCATCATTTCTGCATCCTTTCTCAATACATTTACTCGACCGAATGCGACTTTGTAGACACGAAGAATAACTGGATTTCGATGATAACACTCAATTGTTGGGTAGACTTTCATTTAGTAAGAAAGAATATTTTTTATCTATTTATGCATGCCTATACATTTTCTTTTTTTAGTTAAGGTTAGGTAAGATTGCGTTCAGAAGGACAGTCCAGTCGAACTACTTTTTGTTTTATAAGTAGGCATACGAGACTAGCCAAAGACCATATATAAGAGGTGTATTCACCCTATTTCGGTTAAGACTGCTAGTGTAATGTTTCCCACAATGATATGAGTAGATCTTACATTTCCATTTAATTTCATTATGCTTTACTATCGAAAAAGATATTCCCATCCAGGGTGTTGATAAGATCTAGTCAAGGTCGAAATAGCAGTCCACCCTGGATGATAATACCTTTGGGAAAGCAAGACTATGCGAAACTTAAGGGAAATGTAAGGTCGACTAATATCGTTATGGAACAAATTCAACTACCAATCCAATTATCACCAAAACGGAATAGTTTGAAAATACTTGATATTTAACTGTACTACTGGTAGTCTCGAAAAACCTACTTATACAAAAAACATATGATCGCCACTCCACTTCGTTACGAATGCCCAAAGGTCAAAGGTCATAAGCGATTTTTGAGGAAGGTCAGGCGCAGTTTTTAATGATAGGATCATCACTGAGGCGCACTTTTTATTTGCCATCACAATAAACTCCTTCACTCTCCAAAGGCTCTCTTCCTTTCGGCTAGCCTCGATTTCTCAGCAGTTTCGACCATGCCTGTGTCTACTCAAAATAGTCAACGAGTCTCGAACTTGAATCATTAGCATTGTTACCATCTTCACTACTGCACTACACAGTCCCAGATACCAATTTATCTCAGGTCAGATTTGACCATCAAGGCAGGACAGGTCTCGCTCGAATTCCCTTCTTATTCCATAAATTAAGGACAATTTTGATGCTTACTCATAACAAACACAAGTAGTATTGTCATTCGTAATGCTTGCATTCTCAATATTGCCTCCAGAAAATGTCCGGTGATAGAGCCCTTTATTGACGAACATTCAGCTCGGATGAATCGGAAGTACATGATGGTACGTCTCTCAGCTTTTGGCACAAATCCGATGAGGTCCATTTACGACTCCCTTCAACCCGCCTGATCCACCGAACTGAACGAGACTACAGCGTAAATTGAATTGGAATTCCGTTGACTCGTAATTTCGTCTGAAGACCGTAGATTATGACACTTGCCTCTGTCACTATACGCAACCGGCCGGGTCTCGAATCCCATTAAAAGTGCTGTCCTATTGAGTCACGAAAAAAAAATCTTTGGAAGACATGACTTCGTTAAAGTAAATGATTCCGTTAAAGGTGGCACTGGGATGGGAGGACAGTTGAATTCTCCACAATCATATGAGTAGACCTTACTTCACATGGACTCGCTTGCCCAAAAGAGATTCTCATCCAGGCAGGAGGAGACTGCGCTTTTCACTTCGCCTGAACTCGTCTCATCGTCACCCCATGCGGGTCTCGAACCACGAAAATGCAGAATACACTCTCGACTGCAACTAATGCAAACGTGAATTTCAAGAAGGCCAAGCCATCTTGTCACACCCCATTTTGTGCCAAAATAGTCGATGCAGCAAAGTTGCATTTTCCATGCCAATCGACTGCATTACTTATTTTTCGTTTAGACGAAATGGACAGGATCTACCGGAAGATTCGAAAATCTACTTATAAACAAAACATAAAAGGAAACCTGCGAACGGGGCTGATAAGGTTTTTATAGACGAAATCTACAACAACTTCGTCAACTTCTCCATCTCAACCAAAAGATCATTCTTCTTCGGTTTTCCGTGAGGCCAATTAATGGATCCCTTCCAACCAGGGTCTCCTGAAGAAGCAAAATTCGAGTCGTATTGCCTTACTTTGAGAGTATTGAAAACACGAATATAATTCTACACATTCTCATGCCGATTGTGTCCATATCGAGTTGACGGGGCAGACGAGACGCAGGTCATGCAATACACGAGGCTCGTCTGGGACGCATGGTACCACTCGTTTTCTTTCCAAAGCCTCGTGGTCACTGAGCCTGGCAACATTTGTACACGCTCTATCTGGTCACAATTCCGACTCCTGATGGCCGAGAGCGTCATAGTGCTTTGGTGGCACATTCTGGAAGTCAAAAAATTGGGCGGGAACGGCAAAGGATCGGGACACAAGACGGCGTACTGCCGACCTGTCGGAACTTTGAAGATGTTTATAGGTTTGGAAGATCAAGAGAGAATGAGTGAGATCGAGGGAGAGAGAGAGAGAGAGAGAGAAGAGCGGTTACCGAACATATATCGTCAGGACTGGCCATCGGGTTGAAAAAGAGCAGCCCTTTCGAATCATCTGCAAGTTCAGATACAGGCCTAGTGACTGGGTAATGCTATCCGAACTGTTGTGTACCAAACACTATCAAACACGCACACAAAGACACACACATAAACATACACTTATGCACATGTGATTTGGCTCCAGCCTAAGGTCGATAGAATGAGATTCACATCCGGCTGGATGAAGCCAGTCTGTCTTCCCCTTCCTACTCCACGTCAAGTTCCCCCAACAAAACACACTCAAGTGTAAGGAGAAAGCAGAGACACACTCGAAAGTGTCAACAAACGACGGCCCGATCAAAAGGCGTCAAATACACCCTGACAATTGAAAATACACAAGGTTCGTAGTCAAGACTCATCGAGGTGAAACCGCAGAGGTGTGGAAAAGCATTCGCAACAATCACTTCATGCTTCCTTGACCGAGTGTGAATAGAAAAAAGGGATGATTGAATAGATCAATATCAATTAACGAATGGCCGAGTAATTGAATAGAATGCAATAAATAAATGGTTGGCTGACTCATTGATAGATGATCAACTGAATGTGGTCATTGCATAATTGAATAACTGGCTTTTCGTCATGCCATGTCCTATTTTAATTTTTGAACTATACAAACGTGTAACCTCTTTTAATTAATTATTGTCAGTAGGCCTCCAGTTCCATATGAATGCTAGACAATTAAGCTCAGAAATGCTGAAAATTTAATAAATGCTCCGACTTTATATAAAATAATGATACAGTTTAGTTGCTATCACGCCTACTCATTTGCATTATTTCTGATATGCTCAGACGTGAAGTTAAAAGATAAGATTGTATGTATACGCAAAATGTAAGTAGTTATTTCCAATTATCTACTAATACCATCATGGAAAGGACAATTCGAGGTGTCGCTTTCGTAGGCGATGTACGAAGCAGAGTTTTCAGAGTATATCTGCTTGATAAATTAATTATGACACAATTGGGTCTTAATCTTGTAATTAGGGTTTCGAGACTTCCAGTAATAAAGAAGTATGAGATGTGTTCATCCCATTGCGAAAAATAAATAATGTATTCGATTGATGTGGCAAGTATAATTTTTTTTCGTATGTAAATAGAGCTTCGAGACTACCAGTAAATCAGTAGTATGAGGGGTATTCAGCCAATTTCGTTTGAGGCGATGAACGACCGGTAGTAGAATTTTGCCACAATCATATGAGTAGAGCTGACGTTTCCATTTAATTTCACGTAGAATGGCTTTTCCAAAAGTTGTTCTTTTCTTGGCTGGAGTGAACTGCTTATCAACACCGCCAGCGGGAGCTTGACACGTTAACCACTCGGCCACGTTGCCACGAGAGCAAATGTGAATTTCAAGGAAGGCCAGGCCTTTTGCCATATCACATGTTTTGGTGTGATTCTCGATAAAGTAAACGTATTTTTGCAATAATAATCGACTAGGCTACTTCTTTTGGGTATGTAAGTAGAGTTTCGAGGCTACCATTTATGGCAATAATATACGTTTGCTTCAATGATAATCCCGCAACGAATGTGATATGGGAAATTCACATGTGCCCTGTGACACTATGGCAATGTGGCTGAGGGCTTAATCTGTCGAGCTAATATGCTGAACTGTCATGGTTCGAGTCCCGCCGTGGGTATGGATAAGCCAGAGGCGGGGTCGAAACTGCCGTCCATTCCTTTCGGGAAAGCAAGGCCATGTGAAATTGAATGGAACCGTCAGCTCTACTCATATGATTGTGGCAAAATTCTACTGCCAGTCCTTCATCACCTCAAACAAAATTGAGTGAATACATCTCATACTACTGATTTACTGGTAGTCACGAGAACAATACTTGATTGGAAAAATAAAGTATAGTAGTCGATTGTTATAGCAGATATATGTTTGCTTCATCGACAATTCCACCTTGATGAGAACAACTTTCGGGAAATCAAAGATATGTGAAATTGAATGCAAACATCAGCTATAGTCAAATGATGGTGGGAAAATTCTTCTTCTACCAGTCCTTCATCGCCTCAAACGAAATTGGGTGAATACATCTCATACTACTGATTAACTGGTAGTTACGAGAACAATACTCAATTCGAAAAATAAAGTATAGTACTCAATTGTTATAGCAGATATATGTTTGCTTCATCAAAAGTCCCACCTAGATGCGAACAACTGTTGGGAAAGCAAGGATATGTGAAATTGAATGAAAACGTCAGCTCTACTCATGTGATTGTGGCAAAATTCTACTGCCAGTCCTTCATCACCTCAAACGAAATAGGATAAATAGAACACTCTCACCACGGAATGCCATTTGGGAATGTACATCTGTCCTCTGAGCCAACTGCGCTCGTGGCAATCTGACGTAATGGTTGAGGTGGTGAGATGATATGTTGCGTTGTTGTGGTTCATGTGCTGCTGGGGGTGCTGATGAGAACGGTTAGGGTCCGGTCGAAACTACCGTCCACTTATGGAAAGCAAGACTATGCGAAATTGAGTGGAAATGTAAGATCTACTTACATGATCGTGGGAAAATTCGACTACCAATCTCTTTATCATCTTAAAAGAAATGGACTTCGTCTTTTGGTATATGCGAGGAAAAGTTGGATTTAAAGGAAGCTCTTGCTTCATAATTGTTGGGCTTACTTCCATTTCGAGTTTTCTTGACTCATCAACTTCAATTTGGCTGTAACCATGATACCTTGCTCTGATGATGGCTCACGAAAGCTTAGCACCATTGCACCGGAATCGAAGGAGATTGCCACGGAAACAGCGTCAGCAAAAATTTTCTGGCAAAGTCAATCGA